CCTGCGGCGGCGCTGGGACAGGGGCGCACACTTGGCGGGGACCCAGGGGGCTGTGGCGCTCCCCGCAGAAGAGTTCGGGCCGGTGTCTCACACCGCCCCCCCCACCCCAACCCGGCTCTGGGACACTCACCGAGGCTCTGATTCCCAGAGCAAGGGGCCGAGCGATCAGCGTCTGGGAGCGGGGAGGGGAGATGCTTGAGAAGGTCTCCCTTCAGTCAGTGCACGACCCCGATTTTAACCTCTTCCTTCCCCTCGGAGGGGGCAAATGTGGGGGTCTGAATTGCCACCTCCCAGCCCCGTTCCCCCTTTTATTCGCCATCCAGTGCCTGGAAAGGGGGCCGGCCGCACTGCATGAAGGGTAGAGGAAGGGGATTTTTTGAACTTTGCAAAGTGCAAGGCAGGAGCCCCCGACGGCTGGGAATCGTTTGGGAAGGGGAAGTTTTTATTTTTCCCAACTTGCTATTCCACCTCCACCCACAAGAAAAAGTTGGGGGGGGGGGACCCAACAACCTGCTGCAGGGACTTGAGGCCCGATGTGCCATTCGCTGACTGCCTGACCTCAGGCGAGTCACTTCCCTGCTCTGAGCCTCAGTCTCTGCAGCGGAAAAATGGGTGTGTGGGTGTGTGTGTCGGGGAGGGTATATTTATGTAACTTGCAAGGTGTGAGTCAGGATGCAAAGAGAAAGCGGGTGCGACCCTGCCCTTACAAGTTCCCAACTCTTCCTCCCCCGCCCAAGAAGTTCCTGCAAATGAAGAAGCTGCTTAAAACTTCACCCCTGCTCCCCTCTCTCGTAGGACCCTTCCCTCCCCTCCTCTGCCTGTGTCTGTCAATCTGTTCGTCTCTCTCCCATACTTCTGATGCAGTGACTCTCCGTCACTCTTTCTTCCTGCCTTGCGGTCACCCTGTATGTCTCTGTCTCTCACTTTCTCCTCTGTCTCCCTCTGCCTCTGGCCTGTGTCTCTCCCGACCTCTCCCGCGGTCTCTGGCTTTGTGTCTCTCCCGGACGTCTCCCACTGTCTCCCCCTATCTCTGGCCCTGTGTCTCTGGCCTGTCTCCGGATCTCCGTCGCCGGCTCTCTCCCCGGCTCTCCGTCTTCTCCCGGGCTCCGTCGCCCGCACGCACACAGGCCATAAAAGGAAGCCGAGGCGGTGGGCTGGCCCCGCGCCAGGCCGGGGACCCGCGCGCCCCGCTCCCCGCCTCGCACGGGCCCCGGGTCCCCGGGCCGGTCCTCCCTCCGCGGGCGCGGCGGGGGGCGCTGGGCGGGCGACAACCCAAAAAGGGCAGGCGCGGGCGCCTTCCTGCAGGAATCCCCAGCGCCGCATACCAGCCCGGGGCTGCCCGCTCCCCCTGACTAAATATGGTGCGGAGCGGCCTCCCGGCGCGGCGGGCGCGGGGGAGGGCGCGCTGCCTCCGGCCGCTGCGACTGCGCCGCGCGGGCCCACGTGGGCCCCAGCTACTCCCAGCCACAGGGCTTGGGGAGGGGGTCGGAGGAGCTGGGAGGACCCCCGCCCGGCTCCCGGCTTCGCACGCACCCCACCTAGGTCCACAACCCCTCCCTGGGTAACCGGATCGGATGGGGGAGGGGGCTTGCCTGATCACCCCCATTTTGCAGGTGAGAAAACTGAGGTCCCAGAGCAGCGAAGAGATTTGTCCAGGCTCCCAATGGGACTGGAGCCCACCGTTGCCATGATTCGCTTCCACAAGGACTTTAAAGGGAAAGGGAGATGCCCAGGTGAATTGGCCTGCAGGCTAAAGACAGGTCTCCGAGGTTAGTGGCCGGTGCCCCCTTTGTAGCCGTTCCGCCAGGAGCCATTCCTTTAACTGCTCCGTGCCTCAGCGTCCCTATCTGTGAGATGGGAAGAGCAGCAGTTATGCCCTGGCTGTTGGTAAACAGTCGTTGAGATGATCCATGTGAAACGGACACATTGTGCAGCTTCCTGTTAGCTATTATTCCCAGCCAACTTGAAACCACAGGCCTTGGGTGCCTGATGGCGAGGGCCGGCCTGTCCCCCCTCCAGCCACCCGGCTCCCCAGAGTATCTCAGACCCTCTTGATCACTTCCTCAGGCCCTCCTGCTTTCTGAAGCCTGCTCTCTCTCTATTCTGAAGCCACAGGATAGTCCGTGAACTGAGCCTGTGTTTTCTCAAGGAGGAGCACAGAGCGACAGAATCTTTGCCTCAACTACCTTACTGGGTTGTTAAACAGGACAACATATGTGAAGGCCTTATATAAAGCATTCCATACCTTTCTGGTACGTTCTACCAGTGCTCAGGGACAGTCATTCATTAAATATGTGTCCAGTGCCAAAGCTCAGATGTTTGAATCTTCAAAAGTGCATTGTTACAGTAATTAAAGCAAATGCCTGTTTTATTTCTCATGGCTCAAAAAGCCAGTTATTTTAAGATCAAGGGGGAAAAATACTTTAAAAAAAAGTGTTACTCTGAGAGCTGTCCAGTAGGTTTCCTTGGCTTGTCTTTTCTTTGAGGTGCTGTGTAATGGGAGTTTCCATAAACTCATCAAACAAGATGGCAGAGGGGAAATTTCTCTCTCGGAGTCTTCCTTTTAGCAAAAAAGCTCAAAAATGTGATTGTCCCCCAGTTTTTAATGATATCAAAGATCGGGGTCAAGCATGGTTCACTCCTGCATGTGCCTCGCGACCTAATTATGTAGAAGGGTATCAGCGCTCAAGACCTCCAGCCCAAGATTTGCACAGGACCGTGCCTTCTTGTGAATGAAGGGATGTCATTCCTGGCCACAAGCCTGGCTCGATCGCTCTTGCAAGAAGGCACTTCTGTTTCAGTCATGACGGCTCCACACTTCTCCAAGACAAGACCCCACGGCAGAGTGACTTGCGACGCTCTTTCCTTCATCCATTTCCACCCATGGTGCCTTCGTACCTCCAGATTCTCTATCAGGAAGGCCCCTAAAATTCTCGAGGAGTTTTACAGTGCCTGCCCGAACGAGACACGCTCTTGACATACGATGCGGCAAATCATACTCCTTAGGACTTACCCAAACGAGTCGAAAGCTTACGTCCATACTGCAGCCTGCACTTGGTTTATAGCAACTTTGTTCGGAATTGCCAAAACTTGGAAGCGACCAAGATGCTCTTCAGCAGGTGAGTGGACAAACCGTGGGACACTGAGGTGATGCACTATTATTTGGTGCTAAAAAACAAACCAACTCTCAAGCCACGAAAACATGGAGGAGTCTTAGGTGCATATTCCTACGTGAAAGGAGCTGGTCTGTAAAGACCAAACACTGCAGGATGCCAGATCTGACATTCTGAGAAAGGCAACACTATGAAGACGGTAAAAGACCTGGGGCTGCCAGGGCCTGGGGGGAGGGAGGATGAATGGGCAGAACACAGGACGTTTAGGGCAGTGAAAATACTGTGCATGATACTATAATGGTGGATACAGGTCATGATATATTTGTTCAGACCCATAGAATGAACAGCACCTTAAATGAATCCTAATGTGAACTATGGACTTTGAGTGAGAATGTGGTCACTGCAGGTCCATCGATTGGAACAAACGTGCCACCCTGATGGGGGGGGGGTGCTGCTAAAAATGGGGGAGGCTGCGAGTGTGGGGATAGGTGGTGTATGGAAACTCTGTGCACGTTATATTCAAGAAATAAGGTCTATTTTTTTTTAGAGGTAGTTTTACCTTTTATTAAAAAAAAAAAAAATTAAGACCACACAATCCTTGCAGAACGGTTGTTACAAAAATCAAATACCCAAGTGGCTGGGGAGGATTGTCCTAAATGCCTTTAAAGGCATATTCTCACAAATGTTAATCCTTTGTGTACACTTGGCTTTAGGTTAAAGGAACACATCAAATTTTATATAATCATACAGGCATGCGAGTCATATACAAATGCATTCTTGCACATAATTATAAAGCTATTAGTTTACTCTATGCAAACATATACGCTAAGCTAAATTTATCATCTTCAAACGCCACCTCTGTTCCTGCTGTTTTTTAACTGCCCAAGTTTCAGATTTCCACTTTTCCTAAATCCCTCTTCAGTCCCAATTCCCATCCTATTTTTGTGTAAATCCAAGTCTTCCCCTAAAACTTCTCTGTATTTCTGGAAGAGAACTTCTCCTAACAACCCATGAAAACCACCAGCAGTGATGCAGATTTAGTTTTTTTTTAAAAAAAATTTTTTTTTTTCAACGTTTATTTATTTTTGGGACAGAGAGAGACAGAGCATGAACGGGGGAGGGGCAGAGAGAGAGGGAGACACAGAATCGGAAACAGGCTCCAGGCCCTGAGCCATCAGCCCAGAGCCTGATGCGGGGCTCGAACTCCCGGACCGCGAGATCGTGACCTGGCTGAAGTCGGACGCTTAACCGACTGCGCCACCCAGGCGCCCCCAGATTTAGTTTTTTGAGTTAGAGGACAAGAGCTTGATGGGTCCTCTGTATTCAGATTTTTTTTTTTTTTTTTTTTTTTTTTTGCTATCTCAGCCCATGCACCTTCTTCAACTACTGGCTTATAAATTAATTGACACAGTTCAAATATCCTGAGTATAAACATTTCTGGAGTACATTTTTCTCAACCTAAGGTCCTCTGTGGAAATCATAAAAATCTTAGTTTTTTGAAAATAGGTGGTTTTCCCTTTTTCCAAATATAAAAAAAAGAGTGCTGCATGTGCTCTTCTGAAGCCCTAAATGGCCACGTCCCCGGTTGCGACACCGTCCCCACCAGCCCCCGGGGTGAAGAGTAAGTGTGGCAGGTGAGGTGGCTGATGGCAAGGGCACACGCGGGGCACAGCTCCCTCCCTTCACCCTCCACCCTCCACCCTCCACCCAGGCTGCCGGGGAGCCTGCAGGGGGAAGGGGGGGCCTGGGGAGCCGCCTCCAACCATTCTTCCCGTCCTGGCGTCCACCTCTTGATGACCGAACAGGCACAGGAACAGCCTCTGCACAAAGACGAGTTGCTCCAGTGTTTTTTATTAAATGATACATCGAAAGTATAAAAGTGGCCTGGGTACAAACAAATGACAGGACAATGCATACAAAAGCACTATCGACTACACGCGACAATTCTGTTCAGCTTCTATTGTGATGAGTTTATATCAGTATCCAAAATGATAAAGTCCAGAATTTTTTCTTAATCTAGTCCTGCATGATTGTAATTCCTGAGGTAAACTTAGCGTCCATTGCCAACATCTTTGCATGTAAACCAAGTCTTCTGAGAAGAATTCAGATGTTCACATCCCCACACCCAATACAATGGAATTCGTGACTGTTACCATAGATTACAGATTTAATTTTAAAAATGGAAAGGAGCCCTGATGGCACTTCTCTATGTAAGTAATTCTAGCTCGTCAATAGGGCCTCGCAAAATCCTCTCACTTGTCAAGTATGTCTTGAGGGGACTTCTTTAAACTTTTGGCACTCAGATAAAAATTCTTGGTTAAGGTGTAAGGACTGAACGCTGACCACCGCACAGAAAGTCAATGATAAGTGTCGGTAATTTCCACAGGCAGCACAGAGTCCGCACCCTGAAGAGGACGCCATTTTTTCCAGCTCCAGCCGTGATCACTTTCCCTGTGGAAAATGTTCAAGCTAAACGCGGTCAGTAAACGGAGCCCGCGCAGTTCACGCCCAGGACACGCTTTGCGACTTCCGGCCAACCGGGCGCTATTGTAACAGGTGTTGTCAGGGATATCGGTCTGGAGACTCCACGTTATAAAAATGTCTGAATAAATATCAAAATAGCATTTTAGAGATCGCACACTAAGAGCTCTTACCGTTTTTTTGTTTTTTTTTTTATCCCAAGAACGAAAAACTGGCATTTAATGAGATTTCCGAAGCCCGAGTAGGTAGTGGCGGCCCCTGGTGTAGCTCGCCTTGTAAGTGCACAGCTGAAGGCCACACGGAGGTTACACAATGCCATCTTTTAAAAAGTGCCTTCTGGTATTTCTCCTAAAGCCTGTCTCTTCATGCTTACTCCACATTCTTTATATAATGAAATAAACTCTTTGTTTTACTTACAGCAAAATTAAAAGAATTATTTCCCCCTCTTCCTTTTAATTAAATCTTCCAATAGAAGCCAAAATGGTCCAAGGAAAGAAAAAGTACATTGTTACCTAGTTTAAAAGTTCAAATTTAGATAGTAATTCAGATATCTAAACCTAATTATAAATGGTTATCTGAAAAACCACTAATCATAAGGAAAAAAACAAAGTTTATAGAAAACAGTTTTTTCTGGCTCTAGTGTTCTTTTAAATGTTTTCTCAGAACATGAATGGATTTTTCTACAAATCCACCTAATTCCAGCCCGAAGGAAATTTAATTAATGTAACCTTGTTAAAGAGCAGAGCATATGGCTATAAAGGCCTGAACTTTTTTTTTTTTTAGAACATAGAGGTACTAATAAAATCCCTTTAGCTCTTACAAATTTAAAAAACTTTATCATACCTTCTGAAAACAGTATTTTTTTTCTCTTTCAAGTCAAATCCAAGAAGCTGGAAGCTACAAGTTAGTTTTTATTCACAAATGTAGTAAAACAGGAGGGGCTAAATGTTTTGCAGAAACTCGAATTTCTACAAAGTACAAACATTAGTGATGTATTTTGGTAATGTTGGCAGAATAAATAGGGTACTGAATACACACAATTTTAAGACAAAAGACGCCCCAGATGGAAATGTCATCTCTTTACTGCTTGAGAAACAAGAGGATCCTCAATATCATTAATACTCCACTTCTCCTTTCTTAGGTGGTCACATCTGAAATTGACAGAAACACATGTCAGTACTCATCCCAAGTCAAAATAAGCAGTGTGCAGACATATCTACGTGTATTTTTGAATGCTGTATCTTGAATACTGTAGGAGTTCTTTTTTTGAAAGAGATTTCAAATGTTTATTTTTGAGATACAAAGACAGAAAGAAGGAGGCGGGG